GATTTCATTGTAATTCTTGCTGATTGAATCTTTGATTCAATTTAAACCTTATATTAAAACAGATAAAATCCCAGTGAATAGTCATTCAACAATTCTTTAAAGCGTGCTTCCTAAATAAGAGCAGAGAAAATATGATATAATATGAGAAAATTTTAGACTTATTTTGATTAACATTGTCAACTGAAACAAAACATTTAGCCTGCATTATGTGTAGGCACTATACATGTGTAAAAAATTTATTCAAATTACGTAAAATGTATCAAAATATGCAAGATTAGACTTTATACCATACAGATACAACAGAACACGGCAAATATGGATTTCCATCCATCTCACACTGTAGTACAAACAAACTTTTACAGTACATGTATATAACAACAATAAATAGTACGAGAGGAACACACAACAACGCTGAATCAAGTATAAAATTTTAACCTACTAGTTTTGGGTATTCACTAAACTTTTACAGTAATATATAGATTATAAGTGATGATAAGTCTTGATTATTGTAAATGGCTGTGCACAGTGAAGCTTAGAATTGAACCTTTGATTAGATGGGAAAACCCATATTTTGCAGAGTTTCCAATAAAATCTTTTAGTCACAGAGTAGAGTTTAAAGTAATAAAAAAAATACATTAAAACATATTTAGCAAGTAAAATACTACATAGAATTTGGAAATTTATTAATTCCTAAAATTATTGATCATAATGTATTTTAAATATTAGAGCAGTCGGTAAGACAGCAACGCTCTACTATTCTTAGTGCTTGACAGTAAAAAAGCCTTGATAATGTAAAATTAAAAAAGTTAACATAAGGGCAAATTTTTTCTTTAAAACCATGTTACAGTTATAGGCCTTGAAGAGAGTCCTATTATGCTCTCAAAGAAGAGTATAAAATTTCAACTTGTTTCAAAGCCAGATGTCAATGGAATATGAAAATATCTGAGGTGGTATGCAAACTTAAATATAAATTCTAAGTCAAAAAAGGGACATAATTCTGTCAAAATGCTTGATACAGTTACCTGCTCCTGTCTACAGCTTAGGGTCATGTTGGTGAACAAGTGTGCAAAGTTTCAAAGCCATATGTCAATGGACTTTGAAAATATTTGAGGTATTACAAAAACTTTAACATAAGTGGTTACGCCAACGCTGACATGGATGCCGACGCTCGGGTGACTACAATAGCTCTTCTTATTCTTATCGAATAGTCGAGCTAAAAAGCCTTAAAACAATATCTTGTTTAAAATTTTATTTAAGCACTCAAGAGTTCCATATCTTAATTTATATTAATTTTTGAAAACTGCAAATTTTAACTCACACTATTCCTAAGATGAAGTCCCTCCTTTGATCTTAATTCAATGTGAATTTAAGGTTTAACAATGTGCTATATAAATGTAGTATTAGACTGGCTATATCCTTGATAAGATTATCTTCATGAATTATTGTCACAAAGCACACAAAACGGATTCAATGATTTAAGACAGCTGCCAAGGGTTCTGGGGAAGAGCATTTGAAAACAACCCCCCATAAATCATGGCACAAGCCAATATCACCATAAATCATGGGACATGGGAGGGGAATAATTCAAAATATTTTTATGCAAGGCAATAAGAATATATCAAGGACTTGTGTAAAATACAACAATTAACTCACACTTATCTTACATAACTGATATTTTGTAATGTTGAACTAAACCTATTTTAAAGTTAGAATTTGTCATTGTTAATTCAATATGTTATGCTGGAACCAAACACAATTAGCCTTGGTAATTGCCATTGAAGATGTAGATCAATGTGGTCTGAACACTGGCTAGCTCAGTTCTCAAGTTTGATTTTTCTCATATGGAGGCATGCAGTTTTAAGTTCTCGGCCAGCCTGCACATCAATGCTGTTCGAGTCACTTAAAATTATTGATAGTGTATGTTGTAAGTTTATTTAGGTCAGATATCTCATTGTCCGAAATCACTTAACATAGTATCAATTTCTAATCACAAATTTTTTTAATTTAGTGATTGTATTAAATACCAGTGAAAGAAACCTGGCCTGTAAGGAAATGCTTTTATACAATACAATCTTACAATTCTTCAGTAGCATTCTAACACCTATAGTCCATATGATCAATCTAGATTTAAAACAGTACAAGTAATCTATTACAGTGAACAATGGGAGACAATCATTGTAATAAAGAAAATATATTCAGTTACTGTTATTTCCCTTGATCCACTTATGCTTAAATACATTAAAAGTTATCCAGTCGTACTTAAAGATTTTAACAAGTTAAATGTTGATGCTGCACCTCAAAGACGCCGCAAAATGATGTGAACAGTCAATCAGCAATGAAAATCGTTCTCTATTACAGTTGAATATCCGAAGCACAAATCAATTTTTTCTCCATGCTCTTGGTATGTGCTTGTTGTTTAATAATTAAGATGTATATTTTTTAGAAAAAGTGGAACTTAATGCATAAATTCACAAAGTAATGCCATGTCTGAAATTCTTAAATGTTTGTCAGAGTGCTGCGACAAAAATTTTAACGTCTGGTTGAAGCAAAATAAATTGGATAACAAGTAAAATTAAAATGATTGATATACTTAAAATAAAGTCCAGACATTATGTGCCGAGAATATGTACATTTAAATATTGGCACGAATTGCAGTGTAAGAAATTAGGATTTGAATCCACTAGGCATTCGGAGTACCAGAGTGAAATATTCACTAGCCCAAAAGACATTTCACTAGCACAATTCATTTGTTCAAAACAGTTGCTTATATTGCCTCTGAAAATACAGTAGCCTGGCGGGGCTTGTTACTGTGAAAAGTTGGTAGCCCGAGGAGAAATTGAGTCATCAGGGGCTATAGGACTACTGCTAATTTTGAACACTGCGAATTGCATAATGTTCAAATGATTTTGAGGACGAACTGTTCTGCAGTGATCTCCCCTTTAATTATTATGTAGATAAAATTAGATAATGATAAAAAGAATATGATATTCAAACATGGCACTATCACTTCAGTTAAACGTTTATTCTAATCCCTTAAAGCTCTGTGACATGTTGTACATCAGAAAAGTTATTTTTATTAGAAAATTTGAAAAACAGTGTGATTTTGTTAAAACAATAAAAAATACACAAAATCAAGTCTAAAATTTTCCCCATTGCAAGCTGCGTCTAATGAATATATGAAAGTAAATAAAGTGAACAAAGGGAGATAATTATTGCAATAAATAAAATATATATTTAGTAACAGTTATTTCCCTTGATGCAGTGATCTACATGATGGTATGCACTTAAAATGTAAACACAGAAATTAAATGTAATTTAATAAGTGCATTATGGGGAATTTTTAACATAAAATGAACATAAGTGTTCAGATATTATCAATTTCCTTCTAGTCTACATATTCATATGATTAGTTATTTATAGTCAGACAGGCTACTTGTAGCTACAAGAAAACGTGATAACTCTTTCCATACTAAATATCTTAAATGAGCCGCGTTTTTTTTTTTTTTTTTTTTTTTTTTTTTTTTTTTTTTTTTTTTTTTTTTTTTTTTTTTTTTTTTTTTTTTTTTTTTTTTTTTTTTTTTTTTTTTTTTTTTTTTTTTTTTTTTTTTTTTTTTTTTTTTTTTTTTTTTTTTTTTTTTTTTTTTTTTTTTTTTTTTTTTTTTTTTTTTTTTTTTTTTTTTTGTTTCCACACTAAAACCCAACATAGTGCATTTGCGACCAGTATGGATCCAGACCAGCCTGCGCATCCGCGCAGTCTGATCAGGATCCATGCTGTACACTTACCAACTCTATTACAAGAAGAGAAACTGATAGCAAACAGCATGGATCCTGATCAGACTGCTCAGATGCGCAGGCTGGTCTGAATCCATGCTGGTCGCAAACCCATTATGTTGGTTTTGTCATGACATGGCTCATATCTTAAATCTTCTTGTCCATCTTACAACCTGGACTTAAGTCCATCTTACGATATGGACATAACAATATTTATATTTTTTACAGAAAATTTCAAAATTAACTGACTGAATTGTGAACAGTGGAACAGTTGGTAAGAATGTGCTGGCATATATTGGTCTGCACTTATGGCATGGGTTACTTTGATTCAGTTGGTGACAACAGGGTCAAAAGGTTATTAACAAACTAATTAATTTTTAAATAAACATAACAGCATTATTAAGATATGCCAGGTCAATTAATCTTGTCAAAAATACTGCTTTTTAAGTACCCTCTAAAATAGCATCAACTTGGTAATTATTCTAGCCCTAATTAGAACCCTGGCTGCAATAACTGGTATAGCAATGTACTGTATAGTCCAAATAACTGTACTGCGCGACGAGATATTGTGCTTTCTTGTGTCTGAGTAATATCTCGCCTCTAGATTCTGACCCAGAACAAAAATATCTCTGAATCTAGCTTTGGCATGTCAATATATTTTGACTATGTACTGTATAGTTTAAAAAATAAACAATAATGTAAATGTCATAGAGCAACTTTTTAGTTTCACTGATGGAGGATTTTTTTAGACATAAGATGACGCTTTGTAAAAACAAAAATTCAGTACTGGTTGCAGTCCAACAGAATAGTTCCTGATTTTTATAATATGCAGTGGTAGCCATTTTTGAAGTTATTCAATATTTAAAAATAAAATTATGAAGTTTAGCAAAGTAAACATATGATAAGTCAATTGTCAAATTCTATTGCATATGTAAAGAAAAATATTATGGTATTAATATTCAAAAGATTTCATATCAGTCAGTATCAAGATGATATAATGGTCAGAAAATTTAGAATAAATTTGGAATGATCCTTCAAAACGACAGCAAAAATAGTCCATTTCCCATTCGAACAAGATAATTTGAAATAACTTACTTTTACAGACTATCTGCATGCAGCCATATACAGACCACTCCAGTTCATTTTGCAAGAGTGATCCTTATTAAAACAAGGTATGACTGTATATTTCTATTTTTCAAGGATATAAAAATAATATATTGTATACAAACCTTGCTGGTACTCCTGGCCTTGATACCCTATCAACTTGGTTTAATATTTCTCTGGAAAAAAAACAAACCCAACAACATGAATTAAGAAGCATATACTGTTTAAATTCCTGGGAAATACTTATTCAAATTGTTAATTTAGTTCTATAATTTTGGACAACATATCTCCGATCTCTACATTTTCTTTACTTCTTTAATGTATATTAAATAACCGATATGTACAGAAAATATACAAGGTATAAATATGACAAATTCAGTTTCAATTGGGGCCTTTTCCTTTCTGTTACTTCTGACTGACTGAGCTGAAACAACAAATGGACCGTCTGATATCTATAAGTTTAATAAATCAAGAATAACTTGCAGTATGTGACACAAGGTTTTTCATGGAATGTATTATTACAGTTAGTATATGTGTGCATGCATAGATGTTAAGTAGATTCCTTCCTGATATACAATCAACATGTTTATCCTCTATTTAGATGTTCTTCATTTAGAATTTATAGTGACATTCATGCCGATAAGGTGACTTTCCTAGTTTTACTGCTACTGTGAGGAAGATGCCAGATCCTGCTTGCATAAATGGGAAGTTTAGTAAAACCACAGACATTCTGTTAATTAAGTGTAATTGTCTTGTTTGTTTTTCTAAAGAACAAACATATACAATGTATGTATTTGTTTTTAATCTTTTTTTAAATACAAACAAATTTAACAATTTGTTGTGTGTCACAACACACAGGCTTCTGGTATGCCACAAAGATAATCTTTACAATATCATTCCGACTACATCATGAAGGAAAACAAAAATATTGCTTGTAAAGTGCAATTGTTAAGTCATGAAGCACTTGGCATTTATATAAATAAGGAAGAAATTATCATCTAGTAGTTAGTTATAAAACAGTAAGAATTATAAACCAAACTAGTGGCAATTATAAACCAGTTAGCAATTATAAACCAGTTAGCAATCATAAACCAATAGGCAATCATAAACCAATAGGCAATCATAAACTGATAGGCAATCATAAACCAGAAGGCAATACCAGACGGCAATCATAAACCAGAAGGCAATACCAGAAGGCAATACCAGAAGGCAATACCAGAAGGCAATCATAAACTGATAGGCAATCATAAACCGATTGGCAATCATAAACCAGAAAGCAATCTTAAACCAGAAGACAATCATAAACTGATAGGCAATCCTAAACCAGTCGGTAATCATTAACCTGAGTAGGTAATCATTCATTATCGGGCAATCATATACCAGTGAGAAATTATTATAAACTAGAAGGCACATCATAAACCACGGGGTAATAACACATTTATAATTTAGTAGGCACATCATAAAGCATGCTTTGTAGCATAATTATAAAGATATGTCCAGTAAAAGAATGTGTTTCTAAATATTATTTGGTTCTTTTTTTCCCTTAACCTTGAAATAACAATACTTAACTAATTGCTTTTATTTCATCATCTCTTTTGAGATATAAAAAAAACCCCAACATGTTGACTTTCCTACCCAGACATGTCCACCAAGACAATATATGAAATGAACAGTTCTTTGTCTATTTTTTATTTAGCCACCTAATTTACACAAATTGTGACACAATTCTCCCAATTCACTAGATGTTGGTGGTAGTGGATGTGACAAAGTGTTAAAGGGATATTCAGGCAAATTAATGACAAAAATATCAAAATAATGATCTTATATAATTATGTTCTAAAATGACATTTTTTAGAGTCCCACCTTGAATTTCTGTATAAATTCTATACATTTTGGGTTTGAAGCGTAAATATACCTATATATATATGTTGAATGAAATATAGACGCCATCAGAATCACCAAGTACTTTTAAAACAAGTCATGTCACTTGAACAAACCCCAGATGTTACAATACCATACTATGGTGGATATTGTATGATTGAAACAAGTGTAAATCATTTATTTGACATGTTGTTAAATGTTTTGAGAGTTCACTGTGTCAATTATTGTGAAATCTTAACGCTCTAACCTGACCGTCACGTGGGTCAACTTAGCAAACCACCATTTTATTCTTTATACTGAGAAAAGTTTTGTTCCTGCGACTCCCTAGTGCATTAATTTTGAGGACATTTACAGAATAATGAATGAAAAATTCAAAGCGAAGAAATGAAAATTTTGCTTGAGTCTCCCTTTAAGAAAAAAGATAAAATATACAACATGTAATATATGATTCAATAAACAGCGAACTTGTTGATATAGAGGGGTTTTAATGTCGAAAGTCAAGAGATAAACCATAATAGAAGCCTGAATCATGAAACTACCGTCACGTATAATATTATTTCCTAACTGCTTCTAATTTCATAACATATCCTGTATCCTTTAAATAGAGAGATACAATGGGGGAAATAAATGACATCATTCAACAGGATAATAAAACTTATCCCACACTTTTAAAGATTTATCTTTAAAATGTCATTAAATATCACACACATTTTCCTCATTCAATTAACACTATTATGTACAAGTTGGACATGTTTTAAATCATACATTACAAAGTGGTGCTTGAACACAACTCCACTTTAATACTCATTTCTAATTAAATGAAAATTGAAAACCTGTTTAATAACTGAAAATGTATTTAAGATTAAGTGATTTTATATATACTCAAGCACTTACTATCCAAATAAAATAACTAAAAAAACATATCAACATATTTCAGAAATATGCAGAAATAATCTTCACTCCATTAGAACAGCTCGAGCAGAGATAGGGTGTCATGATTATACTTTTTATTCATTCAAAGTCTAGCATGGATAGTTAATTTTGAAAATTTGAATGCTCATCTGAATGTTCGTGAACAACTTTAAGCTGTAGACTACATGGCTCATATGACACCAGATATATAATATTATCAATACTTAACGCATGACATTCCCATCATCTTACAACTGACTTTTTAAATTACATACAATGCCTTTTTAAAACTATTACAATTACTTTTTTAAAGTACATCTAAAAATATCTTATCAACACCAAAATTTATTGCCTAAAAAATTTAAATTTTCAAAGTGAAAAAAGGTCTGAATAAGGCATTTGATTAATTATAGGCACAATTTAACTTCACTAAACAAATAAATAATAATAACAGAGATCTCTTTACCTGATATATTTCTTTGGACATCTTATGTTGTTCAGATCAATTTCTGTTATATTCTGTAAAAGAGAAAATACAAATGAGCCGTGTCACAACAAAACCAACATAATGGGTTTGCGACCAGCCTGGATCCAGACCAGCCTGCGCATCCGCGCAGTCTGATCAGGATCCATGCTGTTCGCTATCAGTTTCTCTACTTGTAATAGAGTTGGTAAGCGAACAGCATGGATCCTGATCAGACTGCGCGGATGCGCAGGCTGGTCTGGATCCATGCTGGTTGCAAACCCACAATGTTGGTTTTGTCATGACGCGGCTCAAATTGTGTAACAATTCAGATAATTTAAACATAATTCATTACATCCTGACCATGCTAAATATCTTAAATGGACCCATCCATCTTCCAATCTGGCTTAAACCATTTATCATTTTTAGGGAGGGTTTCAAAATATTCACTGACTGACTAACATACAGTACAAAATACCATGATAAGATGGCAAGGATGTGCCAGCTGTTAGCTGTGTTTCATAGAGAGGCCTATGTCCTAAGTCGATCCTAAGATAAAAATTGAGACAATTTTCCTTTTCAAAGAAAGTCTTAGAAAACGACTTTAAGACTCCTATATTTATGACGAAAAACAGTCCTCAGAAGTCAAGGAGTGTTTTAAAGGTATGAAATCAGTGTCTATTCTAGGAGGGGGGATAGGGGGATTCACTCATATTTTTGAGAATTCCCCCCCTATATTTTCAAAGGCAGTGGGAAATTTTTACATAGAGAAAGAGGGAACTAAATCAACAAATGTAATAAATTCTCAGTTTTCGATAAAAATCCCCCCTATTTCTTGAATCCTAGAATAGACACTGTGAAATATGTCTAATATGTAACAACAACAGGATGAAATTGCGACAACATGGGAATGAAAGGGAATGATATAGGATGGCTCTTTGTATATTGACTGTAAAGAAATATAACATACATGAGTTCTTAACTTATGTTATCATCCAGAAACCATTTTTTCTATTTTTAGTAACAGTGACCATGACCCCGGGGGTCCAGAAGCAAACCCAACCAAGGTCTTTATATAAGCTTGCTATTTACCAAGTTTGATTACAATATCTGTAACTCTAGTAATTGTCCTTAAACCATTTTTCTATTTTAGTAATAGTGACATTGACCCCTCAGGGTCCAAATGTAATCCAAACCAGGGTCTTCATATAAGCTTGCTATATACCAAGTTTGATTATAATATCTCATTCCTAACTCTAACTCCAGTTACTACCAGAAACAATTTTTGGCAATTTCACATGATATATACAAATACTAGAATAAAATGATACAAAAAATGATGTTCTAGATAAAAAGAATATCGACCACATGAAATAAAGTCAAACCTATGTTAAACATGGAGGTGAGCATGTCTAGAATATAACTAATGGAAATTAAGCATGTAAGCTATCATACATGGTTAAAATACAAAAGCTCATCTGTTAGCAAAAAAACTGCCCCTTAGTACTCTTCTACACTGGTGAAAGCAAGGTTTAAATGTATGTTATAAGACATCACTGATGAAAGCTAGGTTTAAATGTATGTTATAAGACACCACTGTTGAAAGCTAGGTTTAAATGTATATATAAGACACCACTGATGAAAGCTAGGTTTAAATGTATGTTATAAGACACCACTGATGAAAGCTAGGTTTAAATGTATGTTATAAGACACCACTGATGAAAGCTAGGTTTAAATGTATGTTATAAGACACCACTGATGAAAGCTAGGTTTAAATGTATGTTATAAGACACCACTGATGAAAGCTAGGTTTAAATGTATGTTATAAGACACCACTGATGAAAGCTAGGTTTAAATGTATGTTATAAGACACCACTGATGAAAGCTAGGTTTAAATGTATATATAAGACACCACTGATGAAAGCTAGGTTTAAATGTATGTTATAAGACACTACTGATGAAAGCTAGGTTTAAATGTATGTTATAAGACACCACTGATGAAAGCTAGGTTTAAATGTATGTTATAAGACACCACTGATGAAAGCTAGGTTTAAATGTATGTTATAAGACACCACTGATGAAAGCTAAGTTTAAATGTATGTTATAAGACACCACTGTTGAAAGCTAAGTTTAAATGTATGTTATAAGACACCACTGGTGAAAGTTAGGTTTAAATGTATGTTATAAGACACCACTGATGAAAGCTTAGTTTAAATGTATGTTATAAGACACCAATGATGAAAGCAAGGTTTAAATGTATGTTATACGACACCACTGATGAAAGACAGGTTTAAATGTATGTTATAAGACACCACTGTTGAAAGCTAAGTTTAAATGTTTGTTATAAGACACCACTGTTGAAAGCTAAGTTTAAATGTATGTTATAAGACACCACTGGTGAAAGTTAGGTTTAAATGTATGTTATAAGACACCACTGATGAAAGCTAGGTTTAAATGTATGTTATAAGACACCACTGTTGAAAGCTAAGTTTAAATGTATGTTATAAGACACCACTGTGGAAAGTTAGGTTTAAATGTATGTTATAAGACATCACTGATAAAAGCTAAGTTTAAATGTATGTTATAAGACACCACTGTTGAAAGCTAAGTTTAAATGTATGTTATAAGACATCACTGATGAAAGCTTAGTTTAAATGTATGTTATAAGACACCACTGTTGAAAGCTAAGTTTAAATGTATGTTATAAGACATTACTGATGAAAGATAGGTTTAAATGTATGTTATAAGACACCACTGTTGAAAGCTAAGTTTAAATGTATGTTATAAGACATCACTGATGAAAGCTAGGTTTAAATGTATGTTATAAGACACCACTGGTGAAAGACAGGTTTAAATGTATGTTATAAGACACCACTGTTGAAAGCTAAGTTTAAATGTAAGTTATAAGACACCACTGTTGAAAGCTAGGTTTAAATGTATGTTATAAGACACCACTGATAAAAGCTCGGTTTAAATGAATGTTATACGACACTACTGATGAAAGCTAGGTTTAAATGTATGTCATAAGATACCACTGATGAAAGCTAGGTTTAAATGTATGTTATAAGACACCACTGATGAATGCTAGGTTCAAATATAAGTTATAAGACACCACTGATGGAAGCTAGGTTTAAATTATGTTAAAAGACACAACTGGTTAAAGCGAGGTTTAAATGCATATTATAATACACAAAGATTTTGTGAAAGTCAATGATTACTTAAACTTACCACTAACTTATTGCCATCAACACCCCCATCTCGGAAACATCTGCTGCAGTCTAGTTTATTCTTAAAAAGAAAGAAGTATAATTAATAATATCCAGATGACAAGTAAGAAACAAGAGGGTCATTATACCCCTATATACATGTAACAGTAACATTGATCAATCAAGTTTTTTGAATGCAGAAGTAGATTGATGTCACATGATTGGAGTTTGCCATGATTTAAATAATATTCTAGATGTCCACTGTTTATTATGTCTGTGGTAGAGAAAAGAAGAATTTACTACTTATATAATTAAATTAATATGTTTTGCTTATCTAAGTTATTTTTTGTGGAAAACATTGTTCAAACAACATTATAAATGGCTCGATTTTAGAAAATGTCTGCAGCTGTTTTTCAAATTTTACACAAAATTATGTGTTCAATATTTAATAGTTTATGTTTCTCTAAAAATCACTCTGATTACTTCTAGGGTTACGGTCAAGGGTTAGGGTTAGTGTTATGGGTAAGGGTTAGTGTTATGGGTTATGCTAAGAGGTTTACAGTAGAGTTAGGATTATAAAACAGATGGTTTTACTGTGACAGATTCTAAAAGTGCTCCTTATAAATAGACTAATTGATTCGGAATAAACAGTTTGATCCATTTTACAAATTGTTTTTAACTATTGCCGAACCCTTTGGAAAAAGACATCGCCCGTTCAAGATTATCTCATTTTCTCTTTGAAAAGTTTAATGAGTTGGACTACTTTTATAGAGCTATGTCCTCTTCAAATTATATGTTATATGTGAAATATCAAAGCTGTATGCCATGTATGTAGTATCACACAAGAAGACTGCCACTGTCATAGAACTTTCTTTTCTGTCACCCAACATATTTATCAGTTTATTCATCAGTTAATAGGTAAAATTTAAAAAGAAAGCATGTGTTTTCTGTTTTTATTAAACAGTTAAAAAAGTTTACCTCAGATAGCCAATTTATGACCTCCTGTACGGTCCATCTAATAAGAGTTCCGTATTCGGGTAGTGGCTGCCTTAACCGAGACATATTTATCTCTCAATTTCTCTTTAAAAACTTAGATGACATTGAGGTAAAATTTGTTAAAAGCCCTACTGAAAAAAACTTCCTTGTTGTTTACATCCTGGTAAATTAAATTTTAGACGAAATTAAATTCATGTATTTTATTCTATAATTCCCTACATTTTGATTTGTTGCATAATGTTAAAATTTTTTAAATTATCTTAAATATTTTTTCAAGTTCAGAAAGTAAATAAATGTTTACAAAAGTTCAAAAAGAAGAAATAAAAATTCGTCTAAATTAGTGCGGAACAATTCTGAATAAATTTTCACGTGTTACCAAATTTTGTCAACAAAACATAATTAAATTTAAAAAGGTGGCATCGTAGCTTGACAAAAATGCAGCATGATGATGTAACTATATATATTTCTTACAAATCTTATTTTGAATACATAGATTTATCTCAAAATATTGTGTTTTCCGGAACTGTTTACAATTTTCATATATTTTCGCGACATTCTACATTTTGCTTTACTCACGACTTGCATCTTCTGTCGCGTTAAATTTAATCTCACGATATTTTGTTTCACATTTTAATCAAAATACACTTTCGATACCTTTGTTTATGTTACTGTTAGGGTAGCAAGACACCTCACCCCCCAGACACTTCACCCCTCAAATTTAAAGCTGATTTAGGTTAATTGATTGTATTGCCAAATATATCACAGCACTTTCATCCATTAAGTGTTTATTGCATGTCATCTTGTTTATTTAACATGTTGATTAGTTGTTTATTCAACGGTTATCTCACAATTGATTAGATAATTGAATTTAAATGGTATAATTGTATGAAAATTAAATTAATTCTTAATAAATAAATTAAATAAATAAAATGAATATGAATGAATGAATCGGTTGCTTTAAAAAATATAGTAAATATAAATTATTTATCATCATTATCAGACACAATTATCCTGCATTTAATACAAAGATCATTCATAATGTTATTTATTAAACAAATAAATAGCACCAGTTATGTAAATTAAGCACAAGGTTAAAGAACAAACCATCACCAAATGAACGTAACTCGATGATTATTATATGGTAAGGATCAGACTGAAAACAAACTTAAGTACCAAAACTTCAAGAATTAAATCAACTCAAAATTTATTAGACAATGGGTAAAAACAATAAACATACGCAATCACTATTGAATGTATTTAACATAATCTACATAAATAATTGTTAAACACAAAATAAAAAAAATGAGGGGTGAAGTGTCTCAATCAAATTTCTTAAAATGAGGGGTGAACTGTCTGAGGGGTGAAGTGTCTGCAAAAAAGGGCCTAGGGTGAAGTGTCTGGGGGGTGAAGTGTCTGTAAGCCACTGTTAGTACGTATTTACAAAAATTAAATTGGTCAGGCACAGCGCAGCCGTAGGACCAATTTAATTTTGTAGATACTTACAAATAAATTTTAACCGGCTTAGGGGCAGCACGAAATACCCAAATACACCCAAATATACCCAAATATTGCCCAAATATACCCAAATATTGCCTAAATATACCCAAATATTGCCCAATTATACTAAAAATAAATGTTTTATCCTAAAAAAGTGCTGTTTTTATCATGAATACAATATACATTTTCACTAAGATATAATCAACCATACCCAAATATACATTTCCCTATCATTGTGTTTTGAACCAAAATACAGTCTATATGTACACCATTAAAGCTATTTTTTTAATGGACACTTGTATATGATATGAAATTTCAACAAAAGTACACCTTAAAAATGTAAGTGTAGACAACAAATATCATATCTTGATTTAAAATTGCAAGTACATTCATAAAGAACCTATATAGTACTAAGATAAGCAAATGTCACAACTTTATTTTCTTACAACATCGTAACTGTCCATTTCAACGGAATGAATGAAAATTATAGCAGGCTAAGTCATATTATATTTAATAAATATTTATTTATTTCTCATTATAATCTATATTTTATACAAACAAAAATAAATATTGCTATATTTGGGTGCATTTGGGTATATTTGGGTATTTCGTGCCGCCGCCGGCTTAGTGTTTTAAATTATATTTATTAACAGTTGATTTACTAGACTGATTAACATTTGCCGATTTACCAATGAAAATGTGTTAGGATTAATTTGAAATACTGCAATCCTATTGGACAAAAATTAATTTCAAACACTAAGCATGGACTTTAATTACATTTTACAATTGTCAGTTAAAGTCTGTGCTGCTTAACCAAGATAATTTCAAACATTAATATGCAACAAACTTTTTCAATTTCTATTTGTTGGTGATCCTAACTTTTACATTATTATTAAAAAATTTATTATTAATCTATATCCTAATAGGTTGAGTTGACCCGTGCCGAGTTTGTGTTGGGCCGAGTTGAATTTCCAAAGTGTAATTAATTATTAACAAACTGCACATGAATTTGAGCAGAAAAATTGGGGCACTAAGCTGGTTAAGTACGTATTGATAAAATTCAATTGATCAGGCGTGGCACAGGCGCATGACCAATTTAATTTTGTAAATATGAACCAATACACTTTAACCTATACTTAATGCTTACAATGATTGTTAGCCTAACACTGATATTAATGTGTATCTATTGTAAAATTTTAACACTTACAATTGCTCTTATTTAAGGTCATCTGGAGTATTATCAATGGATCTTTTTGCTCTTTTAAAACAAGGTTAGTAGCTTCTTCTCTCTTTGTAAATTTTAATTAGAAAGGATTCTTTATTTGATAATAAGAAAGGCATACATGTACATGTTACTTGTATCTTTATGATTAAAATGATGTCTGGCCTAGGAAAGGCCCCTAGGAAAGGCATTTTCCCATTGAAATTTTCTTAAATAATCATGCAGTTTCCCCCAAAATGTAAACTTACCCCAGCTTTTTTACTTCCCAAATAAGCAATTTTAGCGATACTTTTTTCCCAATAAGAAAATCAAGAGGCTAAAGCCTCTTCCTAATTGAGTGAGAAAAACCACTGTGTCTTTGTGCGGTACATAAAAATGTCAGTTATGAAGATTTGATCATGAAATGATTGATGATAAAGTTTGAATGTCTAATAGTTAAATAGGAAGAAGTCAGTTTGTTTCATAAACATGTATATTCTTTCAGATACCCATATGATCATCATGATCATGATCTGTAATTTTGCTTTATCACATTTTATATTTTAGAGCAAAGACACAAAAGTTTTGCCGTAATGAATATAGTTTGACGGGTCTATGTAACAGAGCTTCATGTCCCCTAGCCAACAGTCAATACGCAACTGTAAGAGAAGAAAATGGTATGTATACATGAAAATTTCTGCAGAGGTATGAGCTTCTTGTATTTAATAAGGACGTTCCTTATAGGTGTCTGTAAGGTTGACTTTTGGCTTAGAACAGCTAATTGTACTACTAGGTTAAATATTGTGCTATTTTATTTATGGGGGAGAGTCTACCAAGAGGGGAGAGTCTGAACCTTAACACAAAAATATGTCAAAATCTAGATGAAGACATCAAAATATTTTGACTATCTCAAGGCTTTTTCTTTGCATGTTTAAAGAGGAAGAAAGTAAGGACAGGCATATTTTACTACATGTTTTAAATTTGTATATATGTATATTTGGGCTTGTATTATTTTCTAACTTTGTTTCTGCACACAACAGGGGTTCCACTAAATTCCAAAATTTAGAAATCAGACACTGCAAAATCTCTCATATTGGAAATCACATTATATAGGTAAAGAAGGAAAAGTATTATATTTCGGAAGTCACAAGCCAAAATCCAATGATTAAAGAATTCCCAAATTTCCGTTAACGGAAGCGCTGCACAACATCTATTTCAACATAAGCTCTTATCACACTAAATATTTAACACTGTTACACAGACTAGTGGACAACACCATTTTACCACTTTGCCAGATAAAGATTAACATGTTGTGTAACTTAAAACCATTCATCAATTTTTTGGGTTAATTTTATGAAAAAAATGACTGACTGAATAGGGAGAACAGTGCAGACCATAACAGATCAGACAACATGGATGTGCCAGCTGATCTTGGTCTGCACTAGTTGCATAGGTAGAAGCTACATGTACGGCCACTAGCAGGCTAAAGGTTAATAATTATAGTCTACAGCATATTTGCATTATTATTGAACATAAGAATATAGGGTATTAAGTTAATTTCAGATATAAATTAGAAATGTGTCCAATTGGACATGGGTGCCCCCACACTCCACTGTTTTGTCAATCTTATGACTCTTGGTCAAATATTTTTTTCGGCTACATGTGCCACAAGTTGAAAACTAAAAATCTTTTACTAAGTAAAGGGCAAGAACTTAACAAGTTCTAAATAAATCCACAAGTAAACCCCAAGGTGCATAAGAAGGCATGCTGACCAACATTCTTGTTATGCCCCCACAAAGTGGGGAGCTTATAGTGTTGCAATGTCCGTCCGTCCGTACGTATTGCCATCCGTGCGTACCAAAATCATGTGAACGCAACTCCTCTTAAACCGGATGGCAGATTTTGCTTAAACTTCCCGGGATGAACAACCTTAATGTGTAGATGGTAGTAAAGGAAGGAATTTTCGCTGCGACCAAATTTAACAGAATTATGGCCCTTTGTTGATTTTTTCACTATATACTATGTAGAAATTTTGTGAACGCAACTCCTCTTAAACCTGATAGCAGATTTTGCTTAAACTTCCAGGGATGAACAACCTTAATGTGTAGATGGTAGTAAAGAAAGGAATATTTGCTGCGACCAAATTTAACAGAATTTTGGCCCTTTGTTGATTTTTTCACTATATACCATGTATACATATAGAAATTTTGTGAACGCAACACGTCTTAAACCGGATGGCAGATTTTGCTTAAACTTCCAGGGATGAACAACCTTAATGTGTAGATGGTAGTAAAGGAAGGAATTTTCGCTGCGACCAAATTTAACAGTATTATGGCCCTTTGTTTATTTTTTCACTATATACCATATATATGTTGTCATTAGGGGCGTCCGTGTCCTTTGGACACAGTTCTAGTAATTTTTCAGGCCTACAGATCAAAGTCTAACTCTAACAAAATTGAAAAAAATCCACATGCAAAGCCCAAGGTGCATAGCTTCACAGTAATGTTGATCATTATTTCTGTTAAAGTGATTCTAACTCAAGCACTCGCAGAACAAATAATACAACATAATTGAACGTTTTTTTTAGTAAGTCAAGGGCAATAACTTTAGAAATGCTGGATACATCCATAAACGAAACCCCAGGTGCACAACTACGCATGCTGACCAACATTCCCGTAAAGTTTGAATACTCAAGGTTAAATATTTTTTGAGCTACGCACAGCACAAATTGAAAATTGCAAATTTTTACTAAGTCAAGGGCAATACCTCTACAGATACTAAATAAATCCACATGAAAATACCCAGGTGCACAACTACACTTGCTGTTTAACATTCCTGTAAAGTTTTATGACCTAGGTCAAATACTTTTTGAGTTATGTGCGACACAAGTTGATAATTGCAAAGTCAAGGGCAATAACTCTGATAAAACAGAAAAAATTCCACAAGCGAAACCCCATGTGCACAACTTCACATGCTGAGGTACATTCCTGTGAAGTTTCATAACTCTAGGTCAAATGCTTTTTGAGCTATGTGCAACACAAAATGAGGAAGGACGGACGGATGGACAAGGGTAAATTTAAATGCCCTCCCTAAAGTGGGGGCACAAAAACAACAACAAAAATTAATGTATTTTGTTTATTAATCCTACACAGCAATTAATATAGACTTACCTTAATTTGAACACTGCTAGCTGTTCTGTCAATATGTACATGTATTTTGAAATTTCTCTAACAATGATGGATGGTTATATCCTGATTGAAAGATGGTTAAGTCCATTTTGAGTTTTAGGGTGGTAAGGCTTAAAACAGCGTGCAGCAAGAACGGATAAAAGTCTTTATATAACTGATATTCACCTAATGTTCAATGGACCCAAATTTTTTCTGTTGTAGGTGTGTGTTTCTTGTACATGAAAGTTGTTGAAAGAGCTGCGTTTCCACGGCGACTGTGGGAGAAGGTGAAATTATCAAACAGTTACGAGAAAGCACTCAAACAGATTGATGAACAACTGATTACTGGCCAAAGTAAGATTTCCTCTTAATGTCAGGTTTTATTGAACTTTAAATAATTCTGACATTGATACAAGCACGGTGCCCTATTCCATGTAACTTTGTGATCTGTTTGGGGCAGAAAGCCAATATAATAGATGATTTAGGTTTAATTTTCTGCCCGTAACTTTTCTTCTTTAATATTTCATTTATTATAGGATAATCATAAAGTGTATAGCCCACTCATTTTAGTGAGGAACCAATCCTCAAAAGTAACTATTATTTTATTCGTAAAATGAAACCATGTGACTATCTGATTGTTCAAAAACATGCGTTTTCACGCTGACTTTTCCTCCTAAAACAATCTACATGTATGTTCTCTGATACTCACTAGAATGAGAGGGTTCTACATTAAATCCTTTTAAAAACAATAAAATTATTTTAAAAGTTCTGGAAGGAAATGAATCTGGACCATCTATTGTTTTGGCTATTTGCCACACGCAGATCATCAACAAGATCAATGTGTTGTTGTGCTGACAGACATATTGTCTTTGTCATGCATGTTATGAGGAATTAATCTTAAACTGTCGTGCATGTTATGAGGAATTAAGCTTAAACTGTCGTGCATGTTATGAGGAATTAAGCTTAAACTGTCGTGCATGTTATGAGGAATTATGCTTAAACTGTCATTCATGTTATGAGGAATTATGCTTAAACTGTCATGCATGTTATGAGGAATAAAGCTTAAACTGTCGTGCATGTTATGAGGAATTAAGCTTAAACTGTCATGCATGTTATGAGGAATAAAGCTTAAACTGTCATTCATGTTATGAGGAATTATGCTTAAACTGTCGTGCATGTTATGAGGAATTAAGCTTAAAACTGTCATGCATGTTATGAGGAATTATGCCTTAAACTGTCATGCATGTTGTGAGGAATTATGCTTAAACTGTCATGCATGTTGTGAGGAATTATGCTTAAACTGTCATGCATGTTATGAGGAATTAAAGCTTAAACTGTCATGCATGTTATGAGGAATTATGCTTAAACTGTCATGCATGTTATGAGGAATTATGCTTAAACTGTCATGCATGTTATGAGGAATTATGCTTAAATCTGTCATGCATGTTATGAGGAATTATGCTTAAACTGTTCATGCATGTTATGAGGAATTATGCTTAAACTAAGTCATGCCATGTTATGAGGAATTAAGCTTTTTAAACTGTCATGCATGTTATGAGGAATTATGCTTAAACTGTCATGCATGTTATGAGGAATTATGCTTAAACTGTCATGCATGTTATGAGGAATTATGCTTAAACTGTCATGCATGTATGAGGAATTAAAGCTTAAACTGTCATTGCATGTTATGAGGAATTAAGCTTTTAAACTGTCATGCATGTTATGAGGAATTAAGCTTAAACTGTCATGCATTTATGAGGAATTATGCTTAAACTGTCATGCATGTTATGAGGAATTCAGCTTAAACTGTCATGCATGTTATGAGGAATTATGCTTAAACTGTCATGCATGTTATGAGGAATTCAGCTTAAACTGTCATGCATGTTATGAGGAATTAAGCTTAAACTGTCATGCATGTTATGAGGAATTAAGCTTAAACTGTCATGCATGTTATGAGGAATAACGCAGTTTAAGCTGCTGTAATCTCATTATACATGCATATGACACATACCACTAGAGTCGTCACATGACTTGTAAGTTTATGATGAAATATGTATCACTTTATGCACCTCCAGAAATAAAAGATAAAACAAACTATATCCGAATATTATTACAACAACTTAAGTTAATTTATGTAAACTATTTCTGTGTCTTAAAAAGTTTAAAAAATTGCAGGTACTTGAGACATCAGTCAGAATTTCAGTCATCGTTTAACCCTGCGTGATTCCCTAAGAGGTGACCTAAATGGGCAAGTCTATGCATTTCCCTAAAAGCTCCAAAGCAGTGAGGTGGCTTGGACACCTGGTGTTTGTAGAATGTGCAAGTTTGTTACACCCAAGGTGGCCAAAAATGATCCTTTCCTGTTTCGGCGCCATATGACCTAAACCATTTTGTTGGTGCGCAGTAAAACCAAACAAGAAAAGAACAGTCATTTTTTTAAAGAATCTGTTGTTTAGATGTTTTTAATGCAATTATTCAGGCCTAAAATAAATACTGTTGGTATTTTTTTTTTTTTTTGCAGGTTTGTAAAGCACAAGTGTAAGCAAAGATTTACAAAGATCACTCAGTACCTCATACGTATAAGGAGACTTACTCTAAAGAGACAGTTAGTATTTTACTTGGTAGATTATTTACCCATAATGCATCAGGAATAAATTAATTTTCATAATCCATATCATTGGATCTCTTATCTTGCCAGTTGCAGTGTTGTGGAACTGTTTATATTTAGAAAAGGAGATAAGCCATTGACTGAATGGTTTTATGGTTTAGGCATTCAGCTAATAAACAGGAGGTGGTCATTTCAATCCCTTATTGGGTCCAATTTTAAATTTTGTAAAGCTGTAATTGGTGAAACATATACATGTATATCAGAATTGGAAAAAAAAACTGCACTAGAAGTAGAATGTTGTTTTCAAGTTTTAATGGTTGTTTCTTATTTTGTTTTGACAAAGAATAAGACTGCTAACTTGCTGAGTTACTGACCTGCTATCCAGTCTTCTTGCCTAAGGTGGGTTCTACTCAGGTGCCTGTTTGCTGAGGTCTTCTTCCACCAGTAAAGCTGGGAAGACTTCATATGACCTCTACTGTGTAGGTGAGATGTAACCCCCCCCCCCCCCCAAAAAAAAAGAAAAAAAAGAAGATCAATGGTTCATGAAATAACTGATGTGAAGGATGTTCTATAAATCTTATGTGGAACTGCACCAGAATTTCAGCTTCTTAATATTAAATTTTATTTGTAACCAATGAAAGGTACATATTTAAAATGAGTTCAATTCATTCCTGATGTAGGAGGGGTATAGGTTGGTACTGTATTCTATTGAATAAAAAGGTTGAGAGAACTGTACTGTTTACATGTAGATATTAATGTTTCAGAAAGAAATTAGTTCCGTTGAGTAAAAAGGTCGAGAGACGGGAAAGACGACGTGAAGAAAAAGCTCTTGTTGCTGCCCAGCTTGATACAGCTATAGAGAAAGAATTACTGGAACGATTAAAACAAGGAACTGTTATGTATAATATCATATTTCAGTTTAAACAATATTGTATTGATAAACATTACATTAACATGATAATTGACAAATAACAAACTGTATGGATTGAGTAGGAAAACTAAAAAAGCTTCTTTAGAAAAAAAAAAAAAAAAAAAAAAAACTCTCTTTTGTCTTATTTAATAGCATGTGTTTCCAAGGATTTTTTTATTCTTGCTTATTTTATAGCCTATATTTGGTCATGTGCCCAAATAAAAATAGTATATTATTTTCCCAATCCACAGGAAAAATTCCCAATTGAAAGTTACAAAATAAAAATATTGAATAACAAATTTGCGATTCTTTGAAAATAAGGGCTTCTTCACAGTTATGGTGCTTACATATTTGAAGATGCCATCCTAGACTGTGATTCTTTCATTCATTTAATCACTGCAAAATTTAAGTCATGCATTTTTCCCCAATTTTTACAAAACCTTGCTGAAAATCCTAATTCCAAGGGTATGGGTCATGTTCCCAAAATTCTGAAAAAAATCAAAACAAACTCTGGTTTCAGCTAGTTTGCTGCTATTCCACTTTTATATAGAGATTTGTTCTTAACAGTTGTACCACTTTCATAATATGTACTAAAAATGAAAAAAAAATGGTAAAACTGTGTCTCCCTTCTTTCTATACAACTGTTGTGCCCTCAGTAGGGGGGGGGGGGTGTGGCATATAGATTTGCCCTTTTCCATCTCTCCCACTTTTTGTCCACAGACTGACAAAACAGTGTCATATGGATTGTTCCTTTAACACAAATATAAAATATCAGAAATGTTTGAATAATGGTTTTTCATTTTTGTCTCAATTTTGCAGTACAAGGATATATACAACTTCCCGCAAAAAGCGTTTGACAAGGTGGTCGAGGGAGAGGAAGTTGAAAGCGAGAGCGAGTCAGAGAAAGAAGATGGAGAGATGGACGAAGATTCTGAAGATGAAGATGAGGTGGAAATGGAAGAAGAATCGGTATGTATAATAACGTTGGATAATATTGTTACTGAAATTCTAGATTTTTTGATTACTTTTCTTCATATAACTATAAACATAATTTCTAAACATAGGATTTTCAAGAAGCTATTAATTTTTTTGTGCCAGAAATAAAACAAAGGGTACCTGAGGTCTTCGTCTACTAGTTTAGCTGAAAATTCTCACATATCCATTACAGTGCAGTCTGCAGAGCCTTTTCACTAGTTTTGGGGAAGGCGCCATAGCCCTTTTTGTGGGGAAAAAGTGCACGGTTTTCATACTTTTGGGGAAAAAATCATATTTTCCACTGGCAGTTTAACCATTATTACTATAAATAAAGACTTATTTAAATCATACATTTGGGGGAAATATCATAATATATTTGCATATTTTCCTCCAAACACACTTATTTTAGGAGCTTTCTGTCCAACATAAGTTAAAGGGATTTTTTTACAGATCAATTTATTGCCACTTTTTATTTGCCCAAGAATACATTAACTCATATTTCCTAATTATAGAAAAATTTACGTAGGACATGTGAGGGTTCTTGATTTGATTCAGAGGGAACATTATTATCAGTTCCCACCATATCACTATTACTGGCACTGTTGTTATTCCCATACTTGGGCATGTTGTGCTACTCGGACACCACAAACTTGCGAGTGGATACATGTATTTGATTCTCTTGCACTTACAGGAAGGTCAACAATTTGTCCAGTTTTTTCATAAACAACTAAAAAAAATGTCACTCAATCGTATTTTCTTCTGGTTCTGTGACATTGTTTACATTTGGGCGACATCGTAAATCGGTCGCCGTATTGTCGTAAAAAAATCACGTGTGCACTAAAAATTAAGGCAGCGGGGTATTCCCATGTTGCAAACTCAGACCGAGGCAGTGAGTTAACATCAATTTAGTATTGAAATCAAGGTATAGTATCCCACTAGTAGGTAATTGAATAATTAGCTTTCATTGGACAAAAACAATGATCTATTTTTAAACAAGAAAGTTTGTTTACAAGTTTTTTTCTTCGATTTAACATTTCTCTGAAAGGGAAAATCTTCGCAAAGAAGGGGAATTTTAGACTGTTTTTTGGGTAAAAAAGGTAGTAAGTTGGCTTGGGTAAGTAGTTTGAATACCGGCTACAGCAAAGAAGGGTAAAAAGGCCCTGCAGTGATATAGTAAACTAAATACTAATGAACCAACTCAGAGGGATGTAAATGATGAATTTTGTGTTTTTATATAAGGTCTGTCCTTTCTGACACATCAATGATCATAGGTTATTATACCCCGAAACGAAGTTTGGAGGAGGGGTGTATATAGGAGTCACCCGGTTGGTCGGTCGGTCCAGAGGTCCTTTGCATTTTCCTTCATCTTCAGTATTTATAGAGTTATTGCCCTTTGTTCCTTTTCCTTGTCTTTCTGGACTTATTGCAGAGTAATTCAATAAAACTTCATCAATGGCCAACCACTATGAAAGTGGATTTGCAAACATACAAGAACCACAACTATCTTTAATTGCCCACAACCATAACTCTTATTTCAATTCTTTTACAAATATTCTGTTACTAGTAACATCTTCATTTCCGAAGCAGTTTTGCGGGGTATTAATCACATTTAGTGATAGTTTTAGTTTTACATAGAATATATATGTAGAATAATTAATAAAATTTCATTTTAATCAAGATTGTTTTAAATAATTCAGGATTCAGGTGAGGTGGAGTATTATTGCGGAGGAAGAGTTTGAGGAGAGTGACATGGAGGATATGGAGGTATAAGACAGTGACAAAATTATAAGAAAGCCCCCTTCAGTTTTTCAAATGTTGAATATGTTATTTTTAGATCAATAGTTTCATAAAATTGTCAAAGCAGAAGAATTTAGGAAAAAAATGAAATTTGCACCTGATAAAATACATAAACAATGAGGAAACCCCTCAATATCTCTTATCTACCAGTTTGTTCTCTATATGTAAATTAGTAAAGCGGACAATTTGTTTCCCGATCTTTTATTTTTAGAAATGAAAGTTACTGATGCATTATAAATAGTTTTCTAGATGCTGTTTTGAAGAAGATGCACTTTTTTGTGCCCCCACTTTAGTGGCGGGCATTTAGATTTACCCTTGTCCGTCCGTCCTTCCGTCCGTCTGTTTCTCTTTTGTGTCGCATGTAACTCAAAAGTATTTGACCTAGTCATGAAACTTTACAGGAATGTTTGATCAGCATATGTAGTTGTGCACCTGGGTATTTTGTCTGGATATTTTTAGTATTTTTAGAGTAATGCTCTTGACTAAGTAAAATTTTGCAATTTTCAACTTGTGTCCCATGTAACTCAAAAAGTATTTGACCTAGAGTTATGAAACTTTACAGGAATGTTGATCAGCATATGTAGTTGTGTGCACCTGGGTATTTTCGTCTGGATTTATTTAGTATTTTTAGAGTTATTGCCCCTTGACATAGAATTTTTTTTTCAATTTTCAACTTGTGTCGCATGTAACTCAAAAAGGATTTGACATAGAGTCATTAAACCTTACGGGAAGGTTGCTCAGCATATTTAGTTTTGCACCTAGGGTTTTTGCTTGTGGATTTATTTCAGTATTTGTAGAGTTATTTCCCTTGAAACTTAGTAAAAACCGTTTCATTATGTTGTTATTTGTTCCTTGAAGTGCTTGAATTAGAATCAACCAACTTTACAGGAAAAGTAATGATCAACATCACTAAATTACAAGAATAATGATTCACATCACTGTGAAGCTATGCACCTGGGACTTTGCATGTGGATTTTTTTTTTCAGTTTTGTTAGAGTTTATTGCCCTTGACTTACAGTAGTATAAATTTGCAATTTTTAACTTGTTCATGCATAGCTCAAAAAGTATTTCACTTGTAGGGCCTGAAAGTTTACAAGAATGTTGGTCAGCATGTGTACTTATGCACCTTTATTCAGTATTTGTAAACTTCTTGCCCTTTACTTAGTAAAAGATTTTTAGTTTTCAAAAAATATTTGACCTAGAGTCATAAGATTGACAGAACAGTGGCACGGTGGGGGCAGCCGTGTCCTATGGACACATTTCTAGTTCAAGATAAAATTACTGAAATACTTAGTTTGAAACAGCAAAGAATTGTTTTTCCAACAAAAAAATAAAAGCTGAAGGCTGATTTAATTTCCTTAGTTTAAGTTATTTTATTCTTCGTATGTTGTAATATAATTGTTAAAAGTTAAAAATTTGACATATGACCTAAAATTCAAAATGTTTTGTGACTTAAAACTTAAAGACGGATCTTAATAGTAAAATGTCCGTAACTTAACCATTCAAAAAAGGCTTTATTATTCATTCTAGTTAACATTAAGCCCAGTGTGACAAAAAAATAATACAATTCTAATTTGCATGATCACTAGAGCCTTAACCCATTACTTCATAAGGGGTAGGGGATGAAAAAACATGAAAAGACGTCTATATGAAGTAATGGGTTAAACATCATCAAAACATGTAAGTACTTTAAACTCTTTAAATACATTTTAATGAAAAGTTTAATACAGTTTAATGAAAGGTATTGTCATATTTTCCAGGATATGGACAGATTACAATCACAGTCGGAGAGTTTTCTTCCGAGTTCCTGAGGATGACGATAAAACCATTTCCACGTTCAAGCGCAGAAACGCAAGCCTCTGAAAGAGTTGAGATGAATTTACGAACACTATGGTCGAAAATGAGTCCATTCAAAGCTTAAAACTAAAACTTGATAAATGTTCACTGTTAAACTGGATGTAAATAAAAAAATGTAATTTTTTAGAAAATTGTTATTTTTTGTTTCCATGGCATAAAGCAGAAAAAGCTGAAAGGAAATTCTGTAGTAAATAATGTTGTTTTTTTTAATGCTGACTGCTGAAAGGCCAGTGACTAAGAAGTCGAAAAAGATTTCATTTGGTGATTTAAATTTTATTTTCAATTTCTTTTGGCAAATTTCCATAGAATCTTACTAATAACTTTGTTATTTAAAAGAGGGGAATCCCAAAGGACTCCCTGTGACAAAAAACTGTTTAAATGCCATTTGATTTTTGGGAATAAAGTTTGGAAATTTTAACTAAATTCTAAAACATGTTATATTTTTTTCCTCCAAATAAGAGTAAAAGGGTACTTTTATCATGGGAAGTTGTTAAAAGATAAATATGCTGTGCGTAGAATCACTTTTGTTGTGCATTGTCGTCTGTTGTCACCTAAACCACTGGAATGGATTTTTGAAACCAAACTTCACAGGAGTGATCTTTAAGTGGATTACTGTCAATGAGGGTCATAGGTTTCAAACACCCAGGAAGGGTCAAATTTTTTTCTGTACAACATTATTTATGTATCTTTAGATTTCCCTTTTTTGGGAAAAAAAAAAAAAGTATTTAAATTGTAAATTTCATATAAGTATTATTGGCTAAATTACCGGTTTTAATTTGCATGTCACCACTATATTTCGAAGCACAATTTTTAAAAAAACATTCATGTTTTAATATTTAGGTGGATTGGTTCACTGTGAAAAAAAAAAATTTTCCAATTATCGGGCAAACCTTCATTATTTTCCCCAAATTATTTGCAACCTAAATTTTCTCCAGATTATTTGGCCACCGTCAAATTATTTTCTTCAAGTTATGCCACTTACATTATTTTTCCCCAAAGTATTGGCACCTTTTCATTGTTTTCCCAGATTTTTTTGGCACCTTCATTATTTTTTCCCATTTTTTGGCCCACCTTCATTTTTCCAGGGCCTGTAACATCCTTGATCAACATTATTATTATATATTCGATTTAATGGACAGTCCCCAAAAATGGGAGATCGACCAAAATCATTTAAGAAAATTTTTACAGGAAATTTGTGAAAGGATTGTTGTCAATTTGAAGTTTGTTAGCTGTGGCGTTTTTTTTCAGTTTTCATCAAATCAAGGTTTAATTTCATATACTTCTTTATAATTTTATACAAGAATTTATCATAATAAATATTAATACTCGTATTCTTTAACAACATTAATAAAGCTTTTTCTATGTAAGGAAGGTTAATTTTTTTTACTACAAGAATACTAAGCATTCAAGAATAGCCTCCCCTTAATAAAATCTGGATTTGAAATGGACGTTTCATGAAATGTGTAAATATATATATATATATTGCAAAATATGATATAAGAAAAATAAAAAGCCCATTTTTATTATTAGGGCAAAAGAAAACAAAAAAATTTTCAAAATTTTTTTTGGGGTAAAGTATGAAAAGAAATAAATTTTTCTGCCTTTCTAGAAAGGGGAAACGAACACACATTGGGTTTAGATAGTTTGGGCCCTCTTTTAAATTTTCCCGGGTTTCAAATTTGTTTAAAAAAATATCTTTTTTAGTATTTTGTAATTTGGGAAAACAAAATTATTTTTAAAATTTTGCTCCCCCTAGAAAAATAAAGTCGGAATCTGCATACGCGTCTCTGGTGGGTTTTTATTCCCCCTTTTAAAAAAATTTTAAAAAAAGTTTACCCCCTGAAAACTCATTTTTTTGGGGGGTAATGTTTTTTCCTTAAAAATTTTGAATTTTCCCGAACTTTATTTTAAAGGATTTTTCCTTTTTTTTTGTTTTTATTGGTTAAAAATTGCCCCGCCCCTTTTGCGGTTCTCTTGTTATTTGTTGTTTGTCACCAACTGGGGATAATTGTTATTTCAAAAAATTTTTTTTTAATCTTTTTTGGTTTTGAAAATTTTTCATAAGTTTTAACAAAAAATTTTAAAGAAAAATGAAATTTATTAAATTTAAATAGTTGCCAAATGACAAAACAAAAAAAGGGAATTTCAGTAAGTCTGGTTTTTTAAAACAACAATTGGCAGGAAAAGTACATGTTACCCTGAAAGTAAAATTTTAAAAGAAAAAACGGGGTTTTCCCTGTTTATTGGGGGGATGTACTTTGGGACGAAAACGTGTTAAATGTTTACATGTGGTTAAAGTTTTCCCCGAAAAACGTTTTTACCAAAAGTTAAGGTGATGTACCGTGCACGAAAAAACCCTTTTCCAAAGTTATGGTTTATGTTTCCCAAAAGACGGGAAAAAGGGGGTACATTGTTTTGTTGTTTTAAAGTTTTAAAGAAAAAATTTTTAAAAGTTAACCCTTTGGGTTTTTCCCTAAAGAAAAAGATTAAATGTTACGTTTGGTTTTTACGTTTTCCCAAACGAAAACTGGTTTAAAGGGTTTCCCTGGATTTTTTTGGGGACGAAAACAATAAAAATATTAAACTTTTTTTTAAAAAAATTTTTTAAAAGACCAAAACAATTTAATGTTATAAAGGGCCAAGACCCTTTAAAATTTTAAAGGGTAAAATATTCAGTAAATTTTAAAAAAAATTTAAGTTTTATATTTTTTTCCCCCGGCAGTAAAATTTAAAGGGGCAAAACCCCGAATAACAGGCCCGATGGGTTTGGAAGGGGTGACCACTTATCCTTCCGTTTTCAAAACGAAAAGGGGTTTTTCTTCCCGAATGTTAAAAAATTGTTCAAAAACCTTTCCCTTTTTAAAGGGCCCCAAAAAGAAAACAAAACCCGGGGGAAAAACTGGGTTAATTCTTTTTTTGTTTTCTGGGAAATTAAAAATTTACAAACTTATTTAATTTTATTTTTAAACATAAAAAAATAACTCTCGTAAAAATCGCCCCGGGTCTTTCCACTTTTCCCCTTTTCCCCCGGGGGCCCCCCCAGGGGGGAAAAGAATTTCGTGTACCCGTGTTTAAACCTTTTAAAAAAACAAAATTTAGTTTTTGAAAAACGTGGATCCGAAATGTTTGGGGGGCTTTTTAAATTTTTGCCCTTTTTATGTCTTTTTCCCCAAAAAGTCGAAAAGGGGAACCCCTTAAAATTTTAACCCTTTTTGCAATTTAATGAGAAAAGGAAAAATTTGCCTTTCCAAAGTTTTTTCCCCGAGGGACAAGCCGCCCGCCCGGTTTTTGGGAGTTTCCCTCCGGGCTCCAAAAAATGGTTTGGTTTTGCTCGGGTTTTTTGGTTTTTTTCTTTTTTATTTTAAAAATCCTTTTAAAAATTTTGGGGAAAGGACTGTTTAAAAAAAATTTAAAAATAAAAAATCCCAATTTTCAAAAAAAGTAAAACCAAAAAACAGTTCGAGTTTTCAAAGGCAGAAATTTTAGGGGCACATATAAAAAAATTAGGGGGGTGACAAACACAAAAAGGGGCGACGGAATAAACGTTTACCCAAAATATTTTTCAAGGAAAAATACCTTGGACTTTCTTGAAAATATGTTTGATTTTTTATCTTAACTTTGAATCCTTTCCGTTTCCAATTCCACGGCGAAAGTGTTCTTTCAGGGTTGTAAAAACCAATTGTTTATCCCCGAATTAAAAATCCCCGGGTTTTCCTTTTAACTACAAATAATTCAAAAATATACATGTTTTAAATGAGTTTCGAATAAATTTCAACGCTTTTAATTAAAAATTTATGACAAAGTATTTAAAGTAGGGCTGACAAATGGCTATTTTAAAGGGAACTCCATGGTTTTTGAATTAAATGGTACCCTTCTTTATTTTAAGCGACAACCCAAAATTTTAAAATTGGGGTTTCCTTTAAACATTGGGGTTTTTAAAATTAAAAAAACAAAATGAATATCCCCTTTGCAAACAAAAGATTTTTTGTTTATCATGTCCATAAACTTAGCTGGACAAAAAAACCCTTGTTTTTTGGGAAAAAAAAAATTACTTTTTTAGGGAATATTTCATTTTTAAAAATGCCAAAAACCAAAAAACCTTTCCCAGAAAAGGGTAAAAGGGGGACCAAAACCCCAAAAGAGCTAGAGTTTAGATACTAAACATAAAATATCTTCTCGTGAGTGTCTACCAAGTTTATTCAAATTAAAACCCTGGGTAAAAATTGGCCCCGCCCCAGGGGGGTCATTGTTTTTCCCTTTATTGTACATGGTAAAAACTTAAAACATCTTCTTTTAAAAACCCAAATAGCTAGAGCTAAGATATTCACGGTGGGGAATCACGTGACTTTGTATAGTAATACCCACGATAAAATGGCGACTGATGAGCCCCGGTAAGTACCTTATTATGTTAAATTAAGGTGGAAAACGTTTCTTAAATCAAAACAAAACCTAGCGTATCATATGCGCGGTAATTTTCTTCAAATGACAATACAAAGTGCATTATCATACGTTTTGTGGTTTTTGAGAACATTGTTTGAATTGTGTGAAAATTGCACATTCAGCGATAGTAATTCGCACGAAGCGATATAATTTGGTACCAAAATAAATGTAAATAAGCTTTCTTTCTGCACTTAAGACACCAAATCAATCATTTTATTTACACCTGTACTTGTAGAAGGCCATACAAAATATATTTTCGAAGGTCTGTAGCCTACAAATGTTCTTTGCCAGTGTTTAGTAAGTAAAACGAACAATTTCTGGATAGTAAGTTGCACGAAAACAAAATAGTTAGTCTCACGCACAGTTTCCAATAGCATACATATACATTAAAAGAAAGTTAAAGTTCATATGTAAAGAAGATAGAAAATACATATTTCAATTATTCAAGATCAAATATTTCACTTTTTGTCTATAGGACGAATGCTCAATTGGTTGTTTTTATAATATATCAAAATTAACTTTTGGTGGATTTGATATCTGTGTTATTTTTTTCTGTTGCGATAGTAGTTCTTTGACCTCTGCAGTGTCAGGTGTGTCTTGGCTCTCATTTTACTGTAATTAGAAAAAAAGATGAGCAAATATGATTACTTGCTATTTGGTATGGTGATGTTTATTAACTGAATGCTGATGTTTTTATATGTCGGTTTTTGTTACATTGATGTTTTTATATGTCGGTATTTGTTACATTTAGTCACTTTGTTACTTAATTTATGAAAATATATTAAAGAATTCGCAAGAACAAAATAACTTCTTACAAAAAAAACAACAACAAAAAATACCACCACCAACAACAACAACAACAAAACAACAATGATACAGTGATTCAAGTTGTGATTAAAGGCGCATTGTGCTTCAGAAATCCATATTGTTTTAATTCTTTAGAAATGTCAAACATGTGTTTGATAATGTTTAAATAATGGATAAAACGCATGAAAGTATTTTATTACAACTGAAAAAGGTAGCGCTGAACATTAAGTGATGTGTCCTAAAGGTAGCAAAATGTAAACAAAGTAGTATTTTGACTTCCATACAAAATAATTATTCACTAAAGGTATACCAATTGCCAACAGAACCAAAGATGCAAAGCCTTGTTTGAGTATCTAGCAAATGAGTATGTTTTCGGAAACTTAAAAAGATACCAAATATTTTAAAAAAAATAAAAATGATAGCATTTCAGAGGCATAATGGGCCTTTAAAGGAAAACGAATATTTGAAATCAAACGGTCAAAGATATTTGTACTTTTTAAAGTGAAGAAAAAAATATTTACATAAAACAATTTTAGATGCTGGGTTTCAAATCATACCGTCAATGTCACGAGTGAGTTAAAGCACTGACGTTTTGTTAGCTAGTTTGATGAAAGAATTCAAGGACGCTGGGGGGACTAGAATCCATAGCGGTGAGAAGCAAATGTATAAAATTAATGGACTTTAACCGCTCGGCCATGGACGCCCTAAATATCTTATTTACTTACTCTATCACAAACAAAAAGTAAGAGTTTACGAGCAACACATTTGCACAAGGTAAGAAAATAAGCGTATGGTTATACATAACGTTTTAACAATATTTATAAATTCTGCAGTTGTATAAAAGAATAAATTCAATAAAACTTTGTATACCAGTTCTATGATGTCATTAAATATCAATTTGATATGGCGAATGTCTTCTCCTTTGCTTTTTTGGTCCAAATTGCAGAAACTGAAAAGTTGTTGTAATATTTCCTTCTGCACAGTTATTTCTTCTACAGATGACGGATGCGGGTCCGATCTAACGTGAAAAGGGCCATGTGGAACGTATATTGTACGTAAACGCATTTTTTTCAAGTTCAATATTTTTCCAGTACTGGTGTATGGTATATAGCTGATATGTAAAAAAATCTGATGAGAATATTTAGGGGGGGCACCTCTTTTTTAGACCCCCCGCCTTGTTTGGGCCGGGGTGTTTTAGGCTATTTGAACAATCTTTTTTGTGCATACTTGTTTGAAATAAACAATAAAAAATGCAAAATAAATGAAGACATGAATTTTATTTAATTCTCTTAAATGTACACTTCATCCCAACATCTTATGCTTTCTGACAATATCTGAAGATTCTTTTGTGTGCTAACTGTCCTTTTCAACCTGAAAACAAAAAAAGAAATCATTGAAACTATAAAATAAAAAAAAATATGTAAAACATTTATCAATTTAGTGAAATAAATCCAGTGTTTTATATGCTAATCATAAAATGAATAAGATTAAAGAATGTAACATGGACTGACATTGAGTCAAAGTATAACAAGTATAACATTAAAATGCACATAAATGGAGCAACTGTGACCTCTTGAATGAAAGCAAGGCTACACTATAATGCTTAGCTAGGTGAAAATGACCTGGAACAAGGTCTGAAAAAAATTATACAAGATTTTGTCAAAGATTTTGAAGAAAAACAGCAGTACTTCAGATTTTTTTATCTCAATGGACATGGATATTTGCTTCAAAACTCATGAAACAGTATAGAAATGAACTAATAGTAAAAGATGGTATGCATTTTCATTTGATTTTACAAAATATGTGTTATTTCGCAAGTAAAAAAGACAAAATATGATTGCGGAATAGTTTGTTTTACAACATTTGGTCCTGAAAATGACTTTTCTTACACAGGCCAGATTATTTGTCACTCAGAGAACACATTTTTTTTACTATTCAGTGATTTCATTGATAAACATCATGTGTATGTCAAATTGGATGATGTAATTTCAGTATGGGGAGAAAAATGCATAACTTACCATAGCCATCAAATACTTTTGGATAAAATAGAAGCACAAAGAGAATATTTGTTATTGACATCAGCTGTACATTTGTCATGAGGTCTGGTCCATTGTAAAAAAATCCACTCTCAATACTACAGAAGATTCCAATCTGAAAAAGAAAATATTGACATTAAATGTTAAGTGTGTCTTAGACTTTGTACTTTGTCTTATAATTTTTGAAAATCACCTACTTTTATTTGAAAATTTTTCAAAATAACAAAATTTTTCATTTTCCAGAGTGAATATTTTCAAGTTTAGGAATAAAAATGACCAAAATATTTTTAAAATTTATTTAAAAAAAATTTTATTTTCCCTTTGAAAATGTGTGTGTTTCATTCTGGTCCGGGCACATGATTTGATTTTTTTCCACCCATTTCTATTTTTCAATTTTTGCATCTTAGTTACCCCTTTTTTTGGCCTTTGATTTTTTGAAAATATTTAAAAGCAATTTGATTTTAAATTCATCAGAGTAAGAAATGAAGGAGAAAAAAATGCCTTATACACAAAGGGGGTATAAAAAAAAAACAATTCATCAAAAACAAATGAAAGGGTTGGATCAAAAACCCCAATTTTGTGAGACTTTTTTGGCATGTCCCGGGTTTTAAATTATTCAAACTTGTTTTTGAAATTTGCTGTTGTTTCATGAAAAAGCATGCTTTTTAAAAATAAAAAAG